TTTTTATTACCTCTCCTTCCTCTTGAGGCTTTTTATCTTCCCTTTCCTCTCTCACCATTTCCTCCCATCTGTCTTCCTCCTTAAAGTCTTATATAGTTGAGAAGCATCACCCTGTAATTCTTCAGTAGAATTAGGTAGCTGCTGGCTCATTTCTGTACTTGTTTTCTCACAGTTGATGCTCTAATGGAAGATTATGGGTATTAAGAGAATCTTCCCTTTGGCCGTTGGCTCTTTGGAGAGATGAAAAAGTGAGCAGTTGTGGATATTAGCAAGATCCTCTACTTATCTATTACCCTGTCATGAACATGGCAGATGAATTTTGTTGGCTGAAGAAAACAGATGAATTAGGACTGTCCACACATTGACAATATATTTTTATATTCGTGACTATTATATGTAGCAAGAACAGTCTTATTTCTGTGTTTCTCAGAGTTGAATCAAAAATTCTTAGCCTCTCACCACCAGTTTTGAAGTTTAAAAATATGTATATTTTCCCTCTTTGTTAATCTTGGCTCCTTAAATACTAAGTTCTGTCCTGCTAAGAGAAATGGCTGCTTGTGATCTTTGCACAAGAAGGGAGCCACTCCTGCAGGCCCACTCTCCCAGTTTCCTGCTTAAGGGTTGCATGTCGCCAGTATGGTTGTAAGAAACACCTGTAGCTACCATTAGCACAGGCCTTTATGTGAGGTTCTTCCTGAGTGTGTCCAGCTGTATGGCTGGCTGTTTTGCATAGTATTGATGGTTGTAAGAGCCTGTGTCCTAAACAGCGGAATGTCTAGTAGGTGGTTTAAGTCAGTGTAGCTACAGCACCTTTGCATAAATGTCTTTTTTAAAAACACAGGACATAAAGAGTGGTTTTCCTTAGTGTCATCATCTACTAAACACTCTGGCCCTCCCTTGATAGCTTTCCGCGTGATTGCTTGTTCAGTGATGCATGCATGCTTCTTCTGAAGCTGTCACAGTAACAAACATTTTCGTCAGCCCTGTTGGAGAATGCCAGTATGGTAATTGTGTCAAAGCCACATGCTTCTCTAATGGGCTTCTTGTTCACAGCCTTGGGTTTTTTTTGGTTTTTGATAAGTAGAAAAAAAATCTTTACTTAGTATATTATATAACTATACTACTAATTGGGTAATTCTAATTAAAGATTAATGAGCGTTGCTATAGTTTGAGAAACGTTAGTTCTGGTTTTGCCTTTGCCTATTTAACTTTGTTGTCTTGGGCAAATCTAGCTTGCTGATAAAGTGAGGATATAAGACTAGATTTTTGTTTTTTTCTTCTCTGGTTTTTTGAGACAGGGTTTCTCTGTCCTGGAGCTTACTTTATAGATCAGGTGGGCCTTAAACTCAGAGATCCACCTGCCTCTGCCTCCTGAGTGTGGGATCAAAGGTGTGCGCTACCACCATCTGGTTTACACTAGAAAATTTAACAATGCCCAGAAAATAGTATTTACTGAATGGTGTTTGCCACCCTTTAAAAGACAAGCCTAGATGCTACTGCTATAAATGAAAGCCCTGCCTTCATGGACCTTTCACTTTAGTGGGAAATGCAACCCTGACTTAGTTTTTTGGAGGTACACCACACAGCCCTGAGCTCCCTTTTTTCTGGGTGGTGCAGTTAAAGGCCTGTCCGCAGCTGAATGCTGCAGGCTACAAGCCTGGCAATTATGACGAATGCCTGTGCTGTAATCATAGTGTTAGGCTGGAGCTCTTGGGACTGTGTTCAGAATATGGTTGTTTACATAGACTTACGCCCACCTTTATTGTTGCCTCTTCCTAGCTCGATAAGCTATTTTCACTGTTTGCTTTCCTATAACATCACATTGAATGAGTGACACTGGGCAGCCCTGGGCTGTGAGTTCAGTGGTCTCTGCTGCAGTTGGTGAGGCTCAGCCTGAGCTTGGCTCACCGGTGCTCTTTATTTTCGTATTTGCAGTTTGTCCTCAACTTCTGTCCTTAGCTTGTGATTACATGATCGCCAAGGACCTTCCAACTATGACATGATAATATGTTTGGGTCGGGGAAGAGCTACTTACGGTGAGAACATGCTTTATAATATGTTCTATAATCATTTCCATAAACTGACATGAATTTTTTCTAAGGAGTAAACCAGAAGTTATCTGACCCACTAGGTAATTCATGGATGCTTTGAAGAACAGAAATTGCACCCTGCCCGACACAGGGAGCTGTTAGTGCTTGTTTTAGTTAGGGTTCTATTGCTGTGAAGAGACACCATGACCACGTCAACTCTTACAAGAAAAACATTTACTTGGAGCTGGCTTACATGGTCAGAGGTTTAGTCCATTGTCAGCAAGGTAGGAAGCATGGCAGCATGCAGGCAGACACAGTGCTGGAGAAGGAGCCGAGAGCTCTACATGTTGATCTGCAGGCAGCAGAAGGGCCACGCAGGGCCTAGCTTGAGCATGGGAGACTCAAAGCCTGCCCAACAGTGACAAGCTTCCTCTCACAAGGTAACGCCTACTTCAGCAGGGACACGCCACCTAATAGTGCCACTCCCTATGGCCAGGCATTCAAACACATGAACCTATAGGGGCTATACCTATTCAAACCACCACAGTGATATCTTCTGTGATTAAAATATGAACCACTATTAATTTGTTCACCGTGACAGTGGAAACTTTAGTTTTATGTTTCACTGCTTTCTGACTGTTTTGGCCAAATCAGTGTTAGCTGATTGCTCCCCTGTTCCTCGAAGCCAGAGTATTTAGAGAACTGCCAGTTTATCTTGGTTAGCTTACACAAGTGTGGGGCATCTTTCTTTTAACTTTACCTAGGTATTTATTCAGTTCTCAGGATGTAATTAGACAATACATGCCAGAAATCAGCTTTGGTTTCACATGACTAATGTACATAATATTCTTAAGTATGTCTTTTGGAAAAAGACATATTTTCTGAACATTATTGACCCAGTTGTATCCTGTTCTTGCTGGTGTGCATTTTGAATTGTAAATACCTAAGAATACGATGTCACAGTGGGTCAGGTAGTTAACTTGTGCTACTGCTCTCAAAGACATTGTTCTTTGACGCTGCATTTCACTGTTTCTTCTGTATCTCTCTGCCTTGTGTGTGGGTGTAGTGAGGGTCCTTTGCAGAGTCCTCTGGTACTGAGCAACACCAGTTTCCTAGGTGATACTGGCATCGCGTGTGCTTGCAGCTCTTCATCCGTGTGGCCGCAGTTCCCAGATGGTATCCCCCATGCGTGTCTAGTCTCTATCAGAGCTTGTTTTCTCTACAGTCGCAGCAAATTTAAAGTCAAGCTACATGTCTGGGCTAGACCCATCTTCCTGGACATCCTATTTCCACGAATAGGTTTCCCTAGTCTCCCATAAAGTCCCTAGATTATTTTTCTCTGTTTCCATCGTCAGGATAGCCTCTGCCTTTCCTGTGAGAGTTATTTCTTATCTTCTTCCTGGTGTGCTTTGGCCTTAATAAAGAATATGCCTGGATTTTTGCAGTCATCTCCCCGATGTCTGTTTCAGTCTGTCACTTTAGACCTTACAGTCAGGTTGGGCTATTGAAACAAGAATCTTATCATATTATTAGTTTAAGTTCTTGAGCTCTAGAGGCAATTAATTTCAGGATGTGTCCATGTAAAAGCATCTATTAGGGCTTTCTTCTAACTAAACCGCATTCTACTACATTGACATAGTATGTTTAAAACTGCCACATGTGTTGTTTATGAATTTGCTTTAAATCAATTGTACTTTAATATTCCTTTTAAAACAGTTCTTATTTGTACCCTTTAAGAGGCTAGCTGTGACATTTCCCATTAGCTAGGGTGCCAGTGCTCAGAACAGTCTGGGAAAATGACCCTGAGGTTGGGGGGCCGGGGAGCATGAGCTGGCTTCAGCCCCAGCTGCTGTCTTTGTGGGTGAGGCCTGCTGTGCTTGAGCAGTCCCTCTCTGCTTGTTTCAAAATTTGGGCTGGCAGTTATTTTTAGATTTAACTAATTTTGTTTCATTAGTTGTGATGGAGTTAGTCATTAGCTATATTTTTTTCACATTCTATAATATCTTTATGTAAGTTTGTATTAGGACCTTTCCTTAGCTTACACCACACCACACTACACACACACACACACACACACACACACACACACACACACACACACA